TGGTACTTTATTTAAATCCAGTCTGAGAATCTCTGATGGGTGCCAGTTTCACAGAAAGTTCCCTTGCTTTTGTCTCACTGTTGGAATCGAGGCTAGCACTGGAAAGAGAGACCACGGCATTCAAAGCCTATGTCTAGACCTGCATCAGGATGGAGAATTATTCCTCTGACACAATTCAGCCATGGTAGTTTCTGATAGGAAAACATTCTCCTCTCCTACGTGCCGTACACATCTTTGTTCAGTCAAAATGAATTAAAATTAATTCATCTGTTAGAGGTCTGTGACATCCTTCAAAATAGCAAAAGATATCCTAATGAGTGGCAAAACCAGACTGCGAAATCACTGATTTGAATAATAATGGCAGCAGGCAGCTTTTTTATTTTTTAATCTAGAATGGCAGAATTTATTCTTAATTTCTCAAGGCTTTTGATACACAGATCTTCTCAAATAACTCTTGTAAGAGTCCATATTGATATGTACAATGTTTTTGAGGCATGCATCTATTTAATCATTAAGTTACAGTCCTTAAACACTCACAGGGACAGAGCCATAAATCTTCCCTCTGAAACACGGCCTAAGAGGGAGAAGTTAGGGACAGGACAGAGAGCCACAGAACTGCCATTCGTGGAGGAGGCTTCAAAGTCTGGGTCTTTCTGATTCTACAAACATGTAATTATGTGTTTCACTGCAGGCGCTGTAATACTCAGTGCCTTTGCCAAGTCAGCTATTCACGTACTTTTCGGATATGGCATCAATTAAACTTGAGCTGTGTTCCTTATGACGACCAAATTAATGGTTTGACAGTGGCTTTCTCAATAAACACTGCAAACTGGCCATATTTGAAGGTTTTAAAAACCATTTCTTTTCTGTTCAAAATTCTGACAAACATGTCTCAAGTAAAACCGGGGACAACTTCATTATCCTCCCAACACTTAATGCTTTTCTGTAAAGAAGTCTGTTTAATAACACGTCTGCTCTGTTTCCACAACTACATTATTCCAGTTGGTCACACGTTCCAGTCTTCAGCAAGACACTTGTGTTAGGAGAGATAAAAACATGAAAAAGGAAATATATTGCAGAAATCAAAAACCTTATCTATTCTAGACTCTCTCTCTTTGCCATAATTCATTCAAGAAGGCCCCAAGAATAATTTTTGATGTAAACTCAGCTACAAACATACATCACTATGCTGATAAAAATCACAGGCTAAACTTATGAAATATAGTGACTTTCATTTCTTTAGTGCTGTTAAAATAACTTTTTTCTAAGGTTCAACAGACACAAAAGATAAAAAGGGTTACCATTAATCCTTTATAAAAAAAAAAAAAGGAGGAGAAGAAGCCCGTAGATTAATTCTGCGGTCTGATGACGGCCTCGAAGATGAACTTTTAGATTAACTCACTGAATTAATTTGATGAAGATACTGGAAATCGTAAAACAAAAAACAACACAGCATCAAGCTGATTCATTTAATATCTCTTTGGGCACTTTGCAATATAAATTATGTTGACTAACTTTTGGTTTCTAAATTCTGGCCTCACTAAGTTCAGTCAAGACAACAGCGTTCATTGAGGACGACTGTGCAGGCATGTGCTAGGGGCTGAGGACAGAGAACCCAGTCCCTGGGTCGATGAGTTCAGCAGGGAGATGAGGGGGCGACAGAAGGGCTGACCTCAAAGAGATAAACACAGCACATTGTGTGAGGTGCCCTACCAGAGATGTGTGCAAACTCTGGGGGGCGAAGTTAGAGAGCCTGGCCCTGGAGCTGGATCTTGAAAAATGAGTGGGCTGGGGGTGGGGAAATGAAGGTGACCGTAAGGTAGAGGGAGGGTCAGAGCGGAGGTGTATTCCAGGCAGCGGGAATGGCAGCAGCACAGAATTCAAGGTGTGTTTGTGTGTCAGTGGTTCACAATGCCCACGGCCTGAGTTCAGGATGGGAAATTCTGGGCTATGAGCCTGCAGTGGTCAGCTGGTGGTCAATGTTTGTAAAGGCTATGCTGAGGAGTCTGACTTTATTCTGTAAGCCTATAACTTTCAAACCTTTTTTTTGGTGAGGCAGATTCGCCCTGAGCTAACATCCGTTAGCCAATCTTCCTCTTATTTTTTTTCGCTTGAGGAAGGCCAGCCCTGAGCTAACATCTGTGCCAATCATCCTTTTCTTTTGTATGTATTTTGCATATTTTCCACAGCATGGTTGATGAGTGAAGTCGGTCAGCAGCGCCTGGGATCTTAACCTGCGAACCTGGGCCACTGAGGTGGAGTGAGTGGAACTTTAGCCACATGGCCGGCCCCAACCTTTTTTTTAAGCAGCAAAATCTTTTTTATCAGTTGACTCTTTAAATGAAGAATCTCAAAATAGGAAAGAAGAAAGTGGAGCTCCTTTGGCTGAAGGGAGGCCTCATGCCCAACTCTGTGCGCACACACACAGGCGCTTGAGGTCCCCGGGGACCTAGGGCTCTGAGAACACGGTGTGAAAAGCACTGTGATGGGGCAGGGACTTAGCAAGTGTTTTACTGGGGCGGTGCACTTCTTTGCTCCAGGTAGTGTCACAATTTCTAGATCTTTGGAGCCAGAGTGGGAGGAGGAAACCCGCAGGAGACCCACATGTGTGGTTTTCACACAGACCCATCCAGTAGGTCTGAACATAAGACAAAACACTCTCTTGCTGGATTGTCAATACTGAAATGGTGGGGCCTATGTCTGTTTTCTATTCCCAACGCTCGGAACTTTGCCCCACTCACCGAGCTGTGTAATCACTACTTCTTGACTGAGTGATGCCAGGAGGCAGCAGGGAGGTGGTGGCCCACTAGGCCGGGTGTGGTGCGCCCTTTGCCTTCCAGTGCCTGAGCCCACCCCGCCTTGGCACAGCGTCTCAGTGTGAGTGTAAGGGAAACCTGAATCCTCTCTCTAGCTCTTCCCGAGCCTTTCGACTCCAGCTTATCCCTCTATGCAACACGTAAGTGATGGCCTTTCATTTCTCAGAGACATGGAGAATTGATAAAATGTTACTTTTCAAAGCATACTGAATTCTTGGGAAGAAAGATGCTAGAACAATGCCATCTTTATTGGCTGACAAGCTGGAGTGAGAGGGATTAGGAAGATGTTTATCTAAAGGCAGGAGGAATCTGGCAGCCTTGGGGAAAGGGCCCCAGAGCAGCAGGCAATTTTCTCACCAGCCCCTTCTGGCAGCCATCTTGCAGAGCTGAGGCCTCACTGGGATGACAGGAATGGTGGGAAGGGGGGTGGCACGACATTACTCCTTTCCCCTTGTACTACTAGGTGCTCCCTTCTTGCCAAGCTGTAGGTTAATGAGTTGAAAGGAGGGGCCGGCCCGGTGGCACAGCGGTTAAGTTCGCACATTCTGTTTCTCGGGTGGCCTGGGTTCACCGGTTTGGATCCCGGGTGCGGACATAGCACTGCTTGGCAAAAGCCATGCTGTGGTAGGCGTCCCACGTACAAAGCAGAGGAAGATGGGCATGGATGTTAGCTCAGGGCCAGCCTTCCTCAGCAAAAAAGAAGAGGATTGGTAGTAGTTAGCTCAGGGCTAATCTTCCTCAAAAAAAAAGAAAAAAAAAGAGTTGAAAGGAGGAGACTATGTAGCCCAGCATCGCTGAATCTGACAAACAAATACCCAGCATAACTGAGGCAATGGGCACGTGCCAGTCTGTAGGCCCCTCCAGGGGGCTCTGTGCTCTCTAGGCCCCACTGTAGTCAGTATTATCTCAAAAACTTTAAGCATATCATAAATGGTTGCTGGCCTTTACATTCCCTATTGTTCCTTGTTCTTTTTTTTTTTTTAATTTTTTTTTTTTAAAGATTTTATTTTTTCCTTTTTCTCCCCAAAGCCCCCCGTACATAGTTGTATATTCTTTGTTGTGGGTCCTTCTAGTTGTGGCATGTGGGACGCTGCCTCAGCGTGGTTTGACGAGCAGTGTCATGTCCGAGCCCAGGATTCGAACCAACGAAACACTGGGCCGCCTGCAGCGGAGCGCGCGAACTTAACCACTCGGCCACGGGGCCAGCCCCTCCCTATTGTTCCTTTTGAGTATACCATTCCTTATAACATTTGTTCTCAAATTTAGTGGACACTGGAAAAAAGGGGATTAACAAAAACAGATGCTCAGTTCGTACTCCAAGTTACTGAATCAGAACCTACTAGGGTGGGCCTTGGGGAGCTGCATTTAAATACACCCTGCAGGAAATGCTGATATGTACCAGAGTCTGGGAATCACTGTCTTCTAGGCTTCTCCAGGCAACTAACAAATCCTTATATAGTTAAAACTTTTTTCATTTCAGTGTGATCTGTGTCCTTTCTGGCCCTTGATGGGACTCAAGTCCTAAAAATGATTACTCTAAATACTCCACTCAATTACTCAACTGCAAAAATATAATACGCCAGAATATACAACCAGACTGTATCTTCTTTGATAATCTAAGCAGAGGAGTGCCAACCCGGCGGTGATCTCTTCTGCAGGATCAGGCAGGAGTTTAATTACGAGCTGGTAGGTCATGCAGCTGTCAATAATCTGGAGGGTGTTGACACTTTTGGCATGATGGATATCTAAATCTAGTTTTCAGATGTCACAGGAAGTCCCCCAGCTTCCCCTGATCTGGGAAGAAGGGAGGCAGGCCCATGTCTGACTGGGCAAGTCCCCCAAATGAGAAGAGGAAGGGAGCACAACGTGAAATGAGGGCTCTGGTGGGTGCAAATTCTCAGCAGGAATCTGCTCCTCGTGCCCCCAGCCCCAAGGGTGGGGCTACTAAGGTCGGGAGCCTGGCTGGAAGCTTCTCTGCTGCCATCAAGACTGAACAGGATGGGGACCCATGTCACGCTCTGGGCACCATAATACAATCCCGTTTGATTAAAAGAAATTTCTGGTAATGAATTAAACAGACCCAAGGAAAAAAGGACACGGTGGCAATATATTCTCCTGGCACCCAGCACACAGAGGGGAAGAGGGGGAAGAGAGAAGGAGACATAAATAAAGAGGACTACTCACTAGGGCTTTTTTCTTCAGCAAGGTCACAGGCACAGAGCAGGTCAGAATCGATTGAGATGGGTTTCTGCTTAATCCAAAACTTAGTGCTGGCTTTCTGATTCGTAACAGGGTCTATCTCTACTTTGTCTCCAGAGATACCTGTAAGGCCAAAGGGAGGACAAAAAAGAAGCCACAAGAAGTGGAAGGTGTAAGTGATTTCAGTGTAATCATTTGACCTGTTTTCTAAATCCTAAATTGGATCGACATGAGCTCTTTCTTAAGGCTTTGGGGAATGTCCTTAAGACAGACATAAGGAGACTCCAAATGACACGCAGAAGTTGCACAGTCTGGTTTCCTGGGTGAGTCAGTTGTGGGGGGTACAACCAAAAACGATATAAAAAGGAATTAAGAAATATGCCTTCTTAGATGTAACACAGACACAATATAGAGTTCACCTACACATTGTTAGCTCTATATTACCTCTATATCGTAATGAAATAAACTATAATATAAAGTGCATTTAAAAGCCAATTTTGATCAGCGGTCTTTTTTGTTTTTTTAGAAGATCTGGGTTGGACAGTTAAATCTGTAATCTCACCGTGTCTAAATAGCTGAGCTACCAATGAAGGGTTTCTGACTTGGAAAAATCTTACCCACTAAAAATAGGAAAAATCTCCCTCTTCCCTTCTCTGACACTAAGCAACCATCCAAGCTATATTTAAAGGAAGTCACGGGAGGATCAAAGGGTCCTTTACATAAAGCCTTCCACGTTCCGGTCTTAGAGCCCGGCTTCAGGCTGTGGAGGTCACTGCTGCTCTGCGGAGGGAGAGACAGCACTGGGTGTGAGCTTTATGCCACAAAGACTTTGTAACAGGAATCCAGAATGTCAACTACCGGCACTTCAGGTTTCATTTTCAGAGCTGTGACAGACATAACACATTGTACAGTGACTGGGAGCAAAGGTGTTAGGAGAACAAAGGTAACGCCAGCGATGGAAGGTGTCCTGGGATAACTGGGAAATGCACAGCAACTGCTCTCCCGGTGTCACTGCACAGAATGTGCTCAGCCTGACACACTCCAGCTAGGCTAGATGCTCTTTTTCCTCTTTCGCCAAAAATTGAGGAATCTCTTCATGAAGCGAGACAAAAACCTTCAATATGCCTTCCAGAGTGGGCCCCAGATGGAATCTTGAAAGTAATTAATTTTTAGGCCATAGTTTAAAGGTCAGGGTCAAAGTGGAAAAAAGCAAAATGAAGTAAAGATATAAGAAATAATTAAAACAATCAAATGTACATACTGCAACAGAAATGACTCAGTTAACATATTTCATCCTATGGCTCGTACTCAGAAATTTTTCAATACAATGTGAGAAAACTTAGTAGGCCAAAAGAAAAAGCAGATATATGGGACAGCTCAATTAAAAAAAAGACACTAAAACCCCCAAACATACAACGACTGTAGTCTGAGAGCAAATTTAAAACTAACAAAGAAAACAAATACAAACAAATTTCTATGATGGGGTGTGCCACACACTCCATTGGTTTCTATTTCATTTTATAAATAAAGAAATCCCAAACAGTGTCAGACAAAGGCAAGAGCCTATACAGACAGGCTGCAGCGGAGGCTCGTCCGCCGTCTTCGGAGGAGACGACACAGCAGGGTTGCTTCACCCTGGTCATCACTGTGTGGTCTCTGGAAAAGACGAACAATTGGTATTTTTTTATTAATCCAATGCTGGAATTTGTCATTAGACATATTTCAGGAACACCATATTTCAATTAGGCATAATGTCATAAGTCCAATTGACTCTGGACGTTCAGGTCTAGATGACTTCAGGAGGGCGAGAATCTATCAGGAGACCAATTTTATTACATTTCACTTAAAATAGATTACGACTACCCAGTTACACTCTTCCCTCCAATTTGGTCATTAATTGTTAAAGATCTGGACATTTCTATAGTTCCCTGAAAGAAGAAAAGTACTTAAGCCATGGTTGTTGGTAGCAAGTGTCTTTTTTTTCCTCCCCTCCTTCTTCTGCTTCTTATTTTGACATACGTAAAAGTCAAAACGAGCAGAGCAAAATAAATGTGCATATCTCTTATGTGGAATAAACCCTGCCCCACATGCCTTTGTCAGAAAGAGAGGGGGAAAAAATCATCACCAGAGAGACACGGTTTTAAAATTTTGCTCTACGGCCCTGCAACTCCTGAAGACGTAGTCAGTCAATATTGTTAATGTACCTTGTTAATTTGATAGGATTTGTCAGGTAACTCCACTGGAAAATTATATAAAACTGTTCCAGATGAAAAGATGATAGTGACATGAATTAAAGTGATAGAACAATAGTGGAATATAAACCAGAAATGACACCCAAAGTGGCTGTTGATTTATTGCCATACTGAGTTTGGTTCTGGGCTCCCATGTATATTAGTGCTACAAATCTGGGTCCATTTAGCAGAGGGATGCTCATACATACATCACCAGCTCCTGCTCCAAGCCAAGGTCACTCCCCATTGCATCAATCTTTTCAACAGAACCTACTTCACAAAGCAGGACTTTTGCAACCATCTCAGATGCAGCAGACTCTCATCCTCTTCCATCTTTCTTTTATCATGTAAAGTACACTTTAACTTCTATTATTTTTATCTGCAAATTGTTACGGTATAGTTCATCCATTATGGGCAGTATCTCCGCATCAAGTGCCCACGCTCTGCACGGCCACAAGAACACTTTCCAATGACGCCCTTTCCTGGGGTTATTGTGCAGTCACTGTTCACAGAGGGGAACCCCAAGTCTGGGGTTTGAGAATGGAAATGTGGGAGACGTATGCATTAGGTTCAACATGGGCAGGCAGGTGGAACACCATTTAAACAATTGGTGTGTTCCAAAAAAGTTGCATGTAATCCGATTTTTTTCTGAATCAAATCACATTTTCCCACTGACTTCTAGTAGCAGAAATACTTGATCTTCATGTTGGATTGATCTGTAATTGGCAGGGGCTCCCAGCACTTTAGTTTTAAGTTTCTCTGCCCTGCAGACTTTCAGTCAAGTAGTTAATGATCTGTAAAACACTCGCCTGCCTAAAGGAGTCACTGTTCAAAGGAACCTGAAGGGGAATCTTTCCTGATGGAGAAAATCCTTCTGTACATTAAATAATCTCACTCCGCTTGAGATGTGTGTGCGTCTGTTTCTTAAAGGAGGGCCCCACATGCCCCTATCTGCCCTTGCTGGACAAGCAGCAGCCCTCTGCTTCCAGTCCTGGAGGGCCTGAGGCAGCCCACGGTCGGAGCCCACTTTCCCGAGCACACCCAGACCCCACTGCTGAACAGAGTCCACAGAATTCAGCGTGGAAGCAAAGACAGACCTCTCTGGTCCTGGCCTGGGAGCTCGAGGTCTTCTTGTTGGTGGGAAGGAGGAGACAGTCTCGTGGAGAGGAGGCCAGTTAGGAGGCTGGGGCCGCAGTCCAGGCCAGGGGCAAAGATGGGTGAACGCGAACTGGCACCAGCTATGTGCCATCACGGTTAGAAATCCTGTGTGCGCATCGATTCAAATCTCACAGTGTGGTGAGAAGGTGGTTACTATGTTTATCCCTACTTCACAGATGAGGAGACTGCAACACAGGGAGTCAAGTAACCTGCCTAAGATCATACCACTGACAAGCGGCAAAGCTGGAATGTGAAGCACGCCAGGAAATTGGGTTCCAGAATCTGTCCTCTCAGCCACTGCACTAGCCTGCAAGGACTGTGCTAGGTGTCTTACGTAACATACCCCAGGAGACATGAAGGTGCTTGTCAAAGGTTGGGGAGCTTCTTAGTGGAAACGCCATTTCCACCCCGAGCTCTCTGCTTCCCAAGTATGGCACTTCTCCCCACTCAGCACGGCCTCATTCTGCCGAGATGTAATAAGGAACACTGCCCAACTAAGTCTTTAGTCTCCTCTCTCAATTTTCACCAAGGAACAAATAAAGATCCAAATGTGCCAATAAATGCACATCTATTTTTGTTCATATACAGCAAACTGGAGCATGAAAGCCAATCAATATTCTTCTTTTCGATCACTGAGCATGGTTTTGATTTCCTTTGGTAAAATTTTTGTGTAAAGTCACTGAAGGAAGGGCAGAGGCACTCCTTAAAGTGTCACTTTTGCACTTTTTTTTTTCTTTTTGGTGAGGAAGATTGGCCCTGAGCTAACATCTGTTGCCAGTCTTCCTCTTTTTGCTGAGGAAGATTGTTGCTGAGCTAACATCTGTGCCCATCTTCCTCTATTTTCTATGTGGGACACTGCCACAGCATGGCTTGGTGAGCAGCGTGTAGGTCTGTGCCCAGGATCTGAACCTACAAACCCCAGGCCGCTGAAGCAGAGTACGTGAACTTAACCACTATGCCACTGGGCCAGCCCCAGTTACGCACTATTTTTAAGTAATTAAAGTTATAAACATATGTCCAAGAAAACAAGAGAAGCTGGCTTTTAAGTTTACACTTCTCTAACTTAAATGGCCGACAACAGAGGAATAGTTAATCCAACAATGATGGACTACAACACAACCATGAAAAATTATGTATGAGAAAAGCTTTGACTTGGAAAAATTCTTATGACACTAAGTAAAAAGGACAAGGCAAATATTTATAAAAAAGAGATCAAAAGGATATGCTCCAAACTGGTAACAGTGGTCAACTCTGGCTAGTAGGATTACGTCCTTTCCTTTTCTGTATTTATCAAAAATAAAAGTTTCACTAAAAATGAAAACATCACTTTAAAAATTGACATTCTTTTGGTTTCTGCTTCAGAATTCAGCACCCTTTTCCAACTCTTAAAATGTGGGGAAGGAGTATGTTGAATTCTCTAATTGATAATCATGAAAAGCGATCCTAAACTGAAGACTACTTCCATCTAGCAGTTCCCAAGTACCCAAGGACTGAGCTGCTGGGAGGGGCTCCCATGAGCTGTATTATGCCCAACCCGGTGCCACTCTCACAAATGGTGCCCAGCAGGCTCCACCCTCCAGCCATGGCAGGGAGGAAGAAGAGCGCACGGGGGCTGGCCTGAAGTGGCCAGGGTCAACCCCTTCCCTCGGAAACAAGGAGGCCATTTGTCTTCTTTCCCAGCTCTCCTCTCCTCCCCACTTATCCACAGCCATCCGTCATGACCTTTTCATGCTC